GGTTTTATTGTATCATTTACAATTGGTTTAAAATTTTTAAATATAATTTGAGTAGTGAGGTTAAAATTTCCCTCTTTGGAAGTAGCAAGTAGGTATAGGAGGATTTGAAATTTAACTCAAGTGTCACATATTCGAGACGATTATCCTGCTACGATGTGATTTATGTCACATCCATTTCGTAACTTGCCGTTCTGTGACGGGAAAGTCGAAGGACGGACAGAAAAATCACCAGATTTTTTTTGTATTTTACCAGTGCGGTCACGTTTCTCATATAAAAGCCATACTTAACTTTTCAATTTACTGACGTTCCATTTATTTCTATGAAATCCAAATCTCCCGCTTTGTATAAAGAAAACATAATTTAACAAACAGAAAAGCATCATTCTTATTCAGATTCTGAGGCTGACTATACATACTAAAAGAGCGAAGGGTCACGACGGCCACATATATTTTTATGGAAAATGAGAGGTCTTTATGCTTTATTTACGTTTTTGAATATATGATGTGTTACTTGGATAAAGCAGCCGATTTATTTACAGTAGACGGTTTCAAGAGGTCGTAGTTTCCCATATAAAGAGGGATCACAAGTTTATTTCAGGCTGTGTACATATGAATGTTAAAATTTACTACTATAGAACATATGCTTGTGATGTTTCATGAAATATTTGCACACCCTATACTTACGTGTGTACTCTACAATTTTGCAAAAACTATTATGGATAAATACTACTTTAAACCACAGTTAAACGAATTTACTTCTATATAACAATATTAAATGTTCTACTCTACAAACGTGCGAAATATATAAAGCCATATACCATCATTTTCCCTCCACCGCAGTTACGCTTCTATTGTTGGAAATTTTAGAAAATTATAACGATTCACACATTCTAGGTTTCCATGAAATGTTTGCCATTAATAACACATTTCCATAATGGAACGGCGAAATAGAGTTACAATGCAAACATCTCAAGCAAATCCATTTTGTATCAAATTGCCAAAATTAATTGCAGAAATGTCACATTCAGGATATGTTTAATTTCATATCAAAACAAAAGCGGGTTGGAAGTTTTGAAACTCTATATGTAAAATGAATTCGAGGGCGTAAAATAGAAAGAACAAAAACAGAGGTTGAAACGAGACTTTATATTGTTCACGATGAAAACATATCAAAATTTTCATTTAGCACAGTTTATAAATTATCTATTGTATATCACCTAAAATTACTTTAAAATTACCAAAGTATATATAAAACACCATCTAAAGATAGTTTTAAAACATAATATTTGTATAAGATGGAGTAAGATATAAAATATTAATTGATATATTGAAGTAATACTAGCATAAAAGCTCACATACTTTCAGAAATGTTCAGAATATTCTACCTACCTGTGCTTGCTTATAAATTTCCCGGGAGATTTAGTAACAACATTTTAATGGTAGCGCAGCTTTTCCCCTTTATCAGATCAAGGTTGTTATTGTGGTCTGACTAAGGAAAGTAACAGATGGCAACAAATTCATTATACACTACAGGGCTTTAATTGTGAAATATTTACCTAAGTAATATTAATATTCTGTGGTAAACGGATTATTTCTAAATTAATTTTAGAAAATCATAATTCAATTTAACGAGTTAAATTACAAATTTTATGGTAAATTTATTGTAAAAGTGTTTTTTGATCTTATTTTAAGAAAATTATATGAAATTGACCTAGGGTTATAATAATTTATAGGTAACTCTATTATCCACATCTGTCAGTGAATCTATTGCTAATAGCACAAACACGTAAATTTTTATCCTCAGCCGTACCAATTACAAAACATTACGTTTATAGCGAGTTTTATGGCGTAGTAAGTCAATATAGCTCTTTGAAAACTACGTTTTGCATCGCCTAAAGGTCGAATTTTAACTTCCTGCGCGCACTGTCTATCTTTCGTGCCTGTCAGAACACCATAATAGAATTTCTATTCAAATTCTCATCGAATTGTGCACATTTCATTGCATGTAACGTACGCTCGATACCTGGTGCGTGCGTTTTGTTCACCAGAGATTTTGGAACCAAAAACGAAATGAGCTGAATAATATTGAAAAAAAACTTTTGTATAGTTATTATTAGGTAAACAATACCATAATAGGCCTATTTTTAACAGGTACATTCTGTATGTCGTTAGTATAGAAAATGTATGGAAATTGTATTATTCAATTAAAGGGTAGGGTACATACAATAGATCGGAATAAAAAGTGATATTAGCCATTTCGTTTTTTAACTCACAATATAGCACTCACACGTTATGTGATAAAACATACCGGGTATTCGAAATGCGAATTTTACAAATATCCGTTTAATTCATATGGATCCTGACATTTCATTCCGAAAATGAGCGGAGATTAAATTTTTATCAACGCTGTTTTACATACAGGTATGTATAGTATAGTACAGTATTAAATGTTTGTACGAAAAAACCATTTCGTTCAAAAAATTTACACCGTTTTAATCCGTGTTTGTGTATTGAAACAATCTGATATAATCTGTTATTAGTTACCTTTTTCTGGCGATTTACTTGGTTTTTTTCAATGTAATATGATCCTATTGAATAATTAATTGCTGTTCTTTTTACGACATTCTATTGTATGCCTGTTAAAATTTGAATGAAACCATCGTGTTGCCTCTTCATCAAACAGCAGGATATCTAGGACAAACTCAACCCCTTAAAATCGCAAGGGCAACAAAGATAAGAATCCAATCGTGTCCTTTGCACATAAAAATGTCCCGGAGAAAATGAGAAGTCTTCTTTATAACGTTTATTTCATCTACTTAAGAGAAAGACTTTTTGCGAAACGGAAATGAACATTTTCTGCGAGAAATTTTAAATATAAACTACCACTGAAATAAAAAAGCGCACTTTATGTGATTTGATAAAAGTCATGTAGAATTATAAACATGTGGGTATATCAATTTACATAATGGTATACATAACATAATTAAGTAAACAGTACCTACTTACTTTTTTGTTATTTGATAAGGTACCTAATAATAATATTGCAGTAGAATACATCACGGCCCTTAATAAATCTTAGTCGAATGATGTAAATGATCTACGATGATGTAACAATTTTTTTTATTTTTTGTATAAATAAAATAAACACAGATTGGCAATTTTATTAATTATAAAACTCTTTCGGTTTGTAAGTAGTTAGGTATATTTCAATTCGACAAACTTTCATCAAGATTAATTTAGTCTCAAAGTTCAATAGTGCCAGAATTTAATCATGTGGCTTTGTTGTGCGGGCTTTGTATCGTTTCTGTTTACAACCACTATCTATTTGGTCGAGGAGAATTTCTGAATTAGATATCATTTTGGACATTGAATTGGAGAAGGACGTTTTATTAAATAATTTTGGTTTATCTATTACCTGAACAATGACTTTCATTTGATGTCTGTACATATTGATCTTTTTTGATTATTATTAACAGGATTAGATAGTTTAAGGCCACGTATTGAAAAAAAAAATTAATATCTTCTCAGTAGTTTTTTTTTATAATTTGAGATTGTATCTATGTAGTGTAAATATTTTCTTAAGGATAATTGAGTTAAAAGCAGATATGTAAGTAAGTGCTCTCGGAACAACCCTCCTCATGGTTTCTTTGGTTTAGCAGGCGAGGATCCCGTTGGATGTAAAATGAAAAATTATGTAGGTACCTCAAGATAAACATCTAATGTATAAAAATTGAATATAAATCTTATCGCTAGACAAAACAAACAAAATGGATGGTATTCATAGGATAGTAAATAGAAGCAGAATGAGAAAAGTTAGCAACATGAGCGAATAAAAGATCGTGCGTGTATGCTTTCAATTTATTTTCATGAGACGGGGATTGCATATGGTAAACAAATACAGCTAAAACGTGAGGCCGTTTGACGGGTTTTCATCCCGCAAATGCCTTAAAAAAAACCCCATTTTATTCCTTTGAAGCGATAAGTGACGTGACATGAAATCCCTAAAATATGCTTCTTCTCTCGAGTATTTGCGATTTGATTTAAAGCTTGTTACTCGCTTAAACCAAATTTGGCGAATAATATTCGAATCCACCAAAAATTGAAATAACATTTTCATCTACCAACGCGATCTTCTTTGTGATGAGTAGAAGGTATTATACGTATTTTTATTTACTTAGATGTATGAATGTAAATAAAATGAAAATTTGAACAAAGGCTTATTACAATTAAATTTAGGTAAGTATATGTAATATGGTTACCATGCATGTTAACTAAATAATTTCATCATATGTATGTAATGAAAATGTCAGTCTATGAAAATTATATCAAACCTTGTGCACAATTTAGAATAATAACGGATATAAAACCTACCTGATACGCGAATTCTAAATAAATTATTTTTTCTTAATTAATATGGCATTTTATTATTCCTATTTTATGTTGAATAATAACAAGAAGAAAATCCTACGTCAACTTTATAAATGGCTCTTTCAATTCCCCCTGAAATCCTGAAAATTACAGCTCGGGGGATATCATTATTCAAAAACGTCAACTGCCGTCATTGAATTAATTTCATTATACTTTTACAATTAGTGTACAAATAATTCCGTTTAATTCATGATTCCGCAACTTTTCGAGAGATTCGTCGAAATTGTATATCAGTAAAGTCTTGATTACCAAGCAAACGTGAATAGCATAAAAGTTCGTCAAAGGTCTTTGCGACAGGAATATTTATTAGTCTCGCTTCTGTTGAAGTTTCAGAGATTTTGCGAATAAACTTGACGAATAATTCGTATTCATTTGCTCAAAGAATATGCAATAGGGTTTTCAACTTCAGGTGCAGTTGACTGTGAAAATACAACAAAAATGTAATATCTAGCTTACCTATTATACTTATATTGCTATTTCATTCGTTTAAATGATTTCTATAAATTCATTTGACTTTATACAGATGAATTTATGAACTGGCAAATTTTTAATATAAATTCATTCGTTTGCAGGAAAATACGTCAATCATTATGGCAGCCAATCCGAAGAATATCACACGAACCGTAAGTACAACTATCTTTTAGTTTACTTGTATCAGACAGGCAACGCAATTTCTAAAGAGAAAATTGCATGCGAGTAAAATCCATAAAGAGATTCAGTTTACTCCTGGCATCCACCATATAAACTGTCTGGCTGATATATGAACGCTGTATATTGATTCAGTTCAGCCTAATAAATCAAAAAACTGTCGATAACTTTATTATTTTAGCAACACGGGATATTTTATAATGGTTATCACGAACTTTTTTTGCCGCATTATATCTTGATCATAATACGTCGCAATGTGGGGATTCGGTAATATAACTACAAAAGAGAAAGGGAGCTATAGCAGTGTATATAGAATACTGCGCAAAAAGTAAATCTCTCCTTTTTGACATCTCTATTAAAAAAAACGAATTTAGCGGTACCAATGAATCCATATTTTGCATGAAAAATGAGTTTGAATACATTAGCAATGTCGTACCCATAACATAATTTGTTCAATTAGACTCTATAAAGTACTATCTGTTGAAAATCCGGCTTGTCTATGTGGCCTAGAATCCGAGAACTCAAATAAGGACTGGATGGATAGTGCATGATGAGCATAAACATAATGTTACGATTTATACGCTCATAATTGTATAATTTAATGTCTGGATTAAATGAAAGCCGAATCTATAGAAGCAGACTTGCAACATTTTAGCGTTGATAAAAAAACTCGATTCGTTTGTTACTTAACGGAAAACGGAAGGAGAATAATCGAGAAAAGAGGAACAATTATTACTCGAAATTTATGCATTTTCATTTTACAGAATCCAGATCCGTCAAAACGAAATTGAATCCGATATTAAAATTCGAGTTATCTATAATGAAATCTTGATTGAGAAAAGTGTATTGCTATTCTAATAAAAAACACTGACGTTGCACAATCTCGTGGATATATAAAGTCATGCCCCTTGGTTATCAGCGAGGATTTGAGGGAGACTCTGCAGGGACATTTTCATAGATAAGTAGTTTCATTTCTCTTTTATTCCTCGGAACCGTAGTGACAGCTTTCGAATGAATATTGCATAGTAAATCCTGTAGTTTGGAATACATGAATATTATATTTATGCAATATTCTATGTTGATCTCAATTTAATGGTGTTCCGCTGTAGCATACACCAATTTTGTAAATGCATCATATATGTAGGCTGATTAGTGTTGAACTCCCTTTATTTGAAGAATTTTATTATTTTTTTATTGCTCATCTCGTAAAAAAGGTAGCGCATCAACAATCGAAAAACTGAGGGGATGATAATGTGATAAGTAAGGTTAATGGTTTAATTTCGAAAATAAAAAGAATAAAAACGAGCTAATCTGCTTTCGGTCTTTTAAGACTAACTGTGATATTTATATCAGTGAAGCAAAAAAAGAGCGAGGGTGGATGCTTTGAATCTTTCGAAAACTTCCTGAAAAATCAGGTTAATATGCAAATTTAGGCGAAAATGGTTAACAAGGGATAAAGGAATGCCCGACACCTTCAGGATTTAGTTAAGTTCGTAAAAAAATTGAATAACCTAATGAGGTTTCTGAAACAAAAAAGTGACTAACTTGACTCTGACAATTTTATATAGTAAAAGTAATCTATAACATACTCCGGGCCTTTAATATACGATCGCTTATACGTTATAAGAAAATTAATTTAAGACAAAAGTTATAAAGTGATTGTTCTAAAAGTTCTTTACTCTCACCTATTTATACGTATACGAATGAGTGCTCTTTGTTAGAACTATGTATTACAATCCGTAGTAATACTACCTACTAGTATCTAATATGCCTAGCTCTGATTTTAGAGTATTACGTAGAGTGTCATAAACTTTAATTCCGAAATTCTGTTGAAACTACGAAAGATTAGTCATGTAACTAAATGTAACACGCATCAGCGAATTTGATGTAGAATCCACATACCTACTCCCGGTATACATATTAACTAGACACTCGCTACTTACTGATCATTATTTTGTAATCACAGGTCAGTCACGTTGGCAGCGAGTGGTTTAATCCGAGATCGCATCGCACCGGACAGCGTCATAACATGTCTCCATATCCCATTTCACCCCGAATTTCGATATCGCGCCCGGAAACACACCCTCATTTCCCTCGTAGCTTCTCCCCAATTATTTTAGCGGATAGCGCAAATTATCCGCCGTTGATGAATTACGTGATTCCGCTTCGGACGCTGTTAGTATAGCTTTTCTTTCATATTATTTTACGACGTTACATTTAGGTTTTATGAGGGTGACTACCCGTGCTCGCAATTTAGGTGTTGAATTGATACATTACAGGAAACATAAGAACTCGTATTATAAGAGGTTGAGGTACTTATTAATGTGCTATCTCGGGGACGAAAGGAGTGAAATTTAATGTTTGGTTAATTATAGTTCGTCGATAACTCGCCGATTAATAATTTTATTAATTTTCATAAATTTAACTAACAGAGCTGAGCATGCTCTTCGAGATAAATAACTAAGTCTTCCAGTAATTTTCAATTAAAGCGTTCCTTCTTCGATAACGTCGTTTTATTATAAATTCAATAAACTCTATTAAAAAGTAAGAAGTTGTACATACTCCACTAAAATAGATTTCTCCGAATAATATTTCGAGCGAAATTGATTTAGGAGCGAAAACGGGAGAGCAACAAATTTTCTTCAACGACCAGCATTATTCGCGTGCTACCCGAGGACTTTAATTTCCAATTTTCCTCCTTTAGATTCGGTATAAATTAACGGCTATATACAATAAGCTCGACAGGAGAACAATCTTTGCATCGAAAATTTTAATGATTGTATACGTATTTATCTGGTGGAAAATGTAAACAATGTATAAATTATAAATATGTTTAAACGAAATAAATATTTTTTGAATTAATAATTATTTGTACAGACTGATTACGAGATATTTAGGTTAATATTAAATTCGTTAAATGCGTATATTTGATCGATTTTTAGGTCCGCGTTTGTTGGTCATGCTTCGTTAAAAAATTAATGCACGTTAACTTTTTCATTAATTGTTTTATTGCTGTATGTTGAAGGGACTAATGTATGTACATATATTGTTTTTTAGATACACGAGAAACGACTGTATGTGTGTTATAAATGATGAATGATACCTGGCATTACTGGCAGACAAAAACAAAAAATAAAAAAATTTATCGTTGAAATAATGGAATTACCCCGTGTACGTTTCAGGTTGTACGTAAGCAGGTCTTATGTTCGTTAAATATATACTCCCACGATAATACTCTTTTTATTCATATTTTGGGGTTTTTCGTCTCATCGAATCGATATACATACGAAAACTCCATAATGAAAATAGATTTCAATTTAGCAGTACGGGAGAGATTTATTCGGAGGGAAAATTCGGCCCGTGTTTTGTCTGCCAGGTTAAAACTTCCCTAAGACTTTATTCGAAAGGACTGAAATGAACGTTTGGCAAATTCAGCGGATTTTCGGGAGCCACTAGGTCGTTATGCAAAACAGCGCGGACTGCGTGTCCCACGTTACCGTGACGTACATACTAAAATATAATGAAAATTATATCGAACTTTCCAAAAGTTAGTCCGGCCGGATTCCACTAATCCTTTGTTTCACCGATTAAAATTAGAAACTCTCGCATTTCTGATAGAATTAACTGGTTGAAGTTCCTTTAAAACACCATTTTTAAAAGCAAGACTCCAAAGTTAAGTGGTTTTACTTAGTGTTTTGTGTTCTACACGATTGTACACTCGAAATAAAACTTTTGAGTCTTCAACAAGGATACTGAATAAGGCAAATGAAAGAATATACTAGATATTTTATTAAAAATTTAACCGACTGGAAAATATAATAAAGCTCCGTATACTTTACAAAGGGAGAATTCATAATTTCATTGGCCGACGCTCGGGTAAAAGGGAAAATAAAAATTCACTTCTCTAACATATAACGAAAGCTATCTTTTATCTAGGGAAAACCTTTCTCGACGTCGAGTTCGATTTTGTTTAAAAGATAGGTGAGTTCACATATGGACAACCAACGATCCGGCATTTCAATGTCACATTCTCACATCTCCCGAGCGAAAAGAGTGCTCCGTACCTTTAGATATTAACTTTCTCTTCGTTTTGCTCTATCGATCAGGCAGTCCCCAGAGAGTTGATGGAGGAATACGTTCTTGAGCATCATAATTTTTTTCCGAATTGATACGGAGTCGCTATGTCATCCTAGAAACATCAGTTGCATTTGCCTGTTATTTCAGTGAAATTTCGTTCTCAAATTATTGTATTTCCTATATTTTATATGGGATATACGTTGAAGTGGAATAAATTCGTTAATTAGAAATTTAGGAAGCTATATCTGTTTAAAATGCTAATTAATGTTATCGTTGGTTCTACCGATTCGAGAAATTATTACGAAATGAAATCAAACACCAAGTGAAATCTGAGTAGAAATTCAAATACCATTTAGTAGCTAGCCTCTAATTTAAATAAAACTATTAGCAGTGAAACTAATTAGTATATTAAATCGATGAAATTATATTTTACCGATGAATAAATTTCGGAAAACAAAAAAAATCATCAAACTTAATTAGAAGCTAATCAACAAAAAATAGGGTTCCAATTAAATTTAATCGCCCCGATTAATTCTGACTGTAATTTAAACGTACCCAGGTGTTGAAACTGGAAAAATATTTTTTGTAAAGCCCGTTAGCGAATTTTTGGAGTGTTTACACAAAACTTTTATTAAATTCAGGGGGTCAGCTCATCCTATTTGTTCTTCCTTTTGTTCTAGCCACTGAATGTTTACATTCCCGTTCACATTTTCCGCCCTTAACTAACACCTTAGACCAGTAAACAAGCGCGCGACGGGAATTAAACGAAAACCTTTTCGGAGTATTTGCCGAAACGTGCAATACAAATGGAACTTAAACAACCATTTGCAAAGAAGCTATTTCAATATAGCCGATCCCAGTAAACAACCTCATCCGCCTACATCACTGCGTTTGTTAA